AGTTAGTTAGTTGGGTCAAGCTACAGACCTATGTGCTGGAACACTTCAATGTCGACCCAATCTTGAATATAGAATATTCTGGGTCTACGAAAAATCAATTTCCCAGGATAAGTGATACCTGACCGTTTTTAAATCATATATGAAACTTTTTATTTACAAGGAACAAGAAATCTTAAAAATTCTATATACTTTTTAATAATCAATATGTTACATTAAAAAGAGGTTGATATTCAATTATCCTCCATTTCTAACATGTTTTAGATGCCATCTATAATCCCACATTCTCCAATGTTTCCATTTCCGGTCGGTTTAATCACACTTCCGGTGGCACAAGGACCCTAAACAAAAATAATGACTGATGGAAAACATTGTAACTAGCAATGTATATCTATAATCTAGTCGGACGCACTCACATCCAACCAAATGTGCAATGTACATTCAAGGTTTTTGCCAATTAATCTTTTAAAACTGAAAATAAAAACAAGAGCTTTGTAATTGATGGCTTTGAGCATAGATACATAACAATACAGATAGAACACTAGATGTCATCTTTTCAAGATTTAGGGGTTTTTCGTTCACGTTAAACCTGAGGCAGGAGTATGAACAGGCGTTCTCTTTTCGTTATAATTCAACGCGGCATACGCGTAACTCCTTTGGGCTTCTGCTTCAGGGTTATTGTGAACTAAAAACCCTTAAATCTTGAAAAGAAAACATCTAGTGTTCATATCTGTATAGTGTAAAGTTATTTAGTAAAATCAAATGCTGAGGCGCTGTGAAACTTTAAAAATGGCCAGGTCTTAAAAGCAGGGGCGGATACAGGGGGGTGGCGGGGGGACATTCGCCACCCCCTGACAGATTCAGGGAGGGGCGTAGCCCCTCCCTGAGATTTCGAGGCAAAAAATGTTTCCAATTTTATAAATCGTATGTGTTTTTCAATTTCAAGCTTTTTTTATTTAATGGAAATCTTGACTTTCTTTTCTTCAGTTTAATTTAAAAATCAACGACAACAAGTAAATGTTATTGTTAACGATAAATCTAGAATTAGAAATTTGTAAGAAACTAGACTTAAGTTATAATATTGTTCATATCTAGTAATGTTCCTTAATCAATACTCATTTATCAAAATTGTAATATTGGTCCTAATTTTGATGCATTTAAGTATAACTAGTAATTTCTTTTTGTTTTTAAATTGCTAATGTTCCTATTATTGTTCCTGTTCCTAATACTGTGTCCGACCCAACTTAAATCCCTGTCCTAATCCAATATTTTTGTTCCTAATTCCTGAACAATCTTTTTATTGTTCCTAAATCCCTGTCCTAATCCATTATTTTTGTTCCTAATTCCTGAGCAATCTTTTTATTGTTCCTAAATTCCTGTCCTAATCATTTATTTTTGTTCCTAATTCCTGAACAATCTTTTAATTGTTCCTAAATTCCTGTTCTAATCTGTTAATTTTGTTCCTTAAAGTTAAAAATCTAGTTTTTTAGTCTTTAGTCATTAATTTTGAGTCAAAAAAAAATTTCGCCTGTGGCACGATTTTTTGTTCCTAATTATTAATTTTTTGTTCCTAAAAAATCTTGCCCCCCCCCCCTCACTTAAATCCTGTATCCGCCCCTGCTTAAAAGAGACTAATTGTTGTAGCTGTTTGGATGTGTGTGGTCTGTACCTGTGTATATCTAGTATAACACCAGGAGGAAGAGGAAAATATTAAATCGTCAGGATTATCACAAACAGCCTCCTCTAAAACCGGTGGCGTGTGCATACTTAAAACCTAGAAAAATCTTTAAAATTCTTTTAGTTTTTAAATTTATGATATAAAACAGTTTGGGATTTATTTAAAAAAATCCTTTTAGTGCAATCCATTAAACCTTGAAACTAAAGTTAAAGTATCATGAAACTTGCAGAAAATAATCGTCGTAGACAATTTCATTGCTGTCTTCATCACATTTATAAAAATCATGACTTGAGTAGAGTCTCCTTTTAAATAACATTCTACAGAGTGTCCCAATAAACATGGGAATTGAGAGACAACGTGAAAATCTTCTTCGATTTCCGATAATTAATAAATGACATAAAGTGCAAAAAATAAAGATTAAAAGTTGAAATGATGCTTTCCAATTTCAGTTCTTCCTTCTTCGTATCTTTAAAATTGACGAACACGTTTAACATTTTAACAGTTTTGTTGATTTTTAGTAAACTGGAATCTGGACAAACTTCCTAATGTCTTTGTACATTTTGAAAGTTAAGAAATGATAGACCATATTTTTGAAATCTCAAGGGCGAGACTAGTATTTTTTCGTTGTTAAATGTTATAACTATTATACTACAAAATTATGTTTACGAAATAATCTCGAATGGAACAGAAGTAGTCATTTAATTTCCATGTTTATTGCGTGGGACATCGTATTATTTCCTGTTCTACGATTCTAATACTGGAACATCATATTGTTTCCTGTCCTACGATTCTAATACTGGGACATCATATTATTTCCTGTTCTACGATTCTAATACTGGGACATCATATTGTTTCCTGTCCTAAGATTCTAATACTGGGACATCATATTTTTTCCTGTCCCTAAGATTCTAATACAGGGACATCATATTGTTTCCTGTTCTACGATTCTAATACTGGGACATCATATTGTTTCCTGTTCTACGATTCTAATATAAGATTACCGTGTGTATAAGTAGTAGTTGACATAATAGAGGTCTGAGCTGGGTAACCATCTTGGTGACACTGCCAACCCAACCTTTCACTTATATGTATATAGATAGATAGATGGGTAGATAGATAGGCATGGATAAATAAATGTACAGATAGACAGAAAGATGGCAGGCGCCTTTACATATATCATAATCATATTGCCCCCACCCCCGGGATTCATTGACAAAGGTAAAAATCAGGTGTAGTGGGTAAAAAAAGAGCTTACTCCCATCTTCAAAGGGGTGTTTTTCCACCTAAAAAGTAGTTAAACATTTTCTGTAATTATGTATACGCGCCTGAAAGATAGACATTCTATAACTTTTTTTTTACAAAATTCAATAGAAAAACAAATGGAAAGGTGGATTGTAAGACAATAAAAGAAAGAGGGATGCTTCCACATTTGTAGAAGTTTATATGAATATTTACATAACAAGGCTATCTTTACATCAATACAATAAACACGACTTTTTAAAGTTTTTATTCTAATATAAAGTAATCAAAAAGAAGTTTCTCTTTGTTTCCATGTTTATGTTTATCGATATTGACAATAAGTAATAATTGAAATCAAAACTCGTCTCTGCATTGATATAAGCGACGACGACTGTACTGAATATTTATTTGCAGAAAGATTTCTCGAAAGCGCTACAAATACAGACAAATAATAAAATTTTTGTGGGAACCCCCGTATGAAATGTTTCTTGTGTTCAGCTTATCTGTATCTTGGCCCATGAGTGGTGTAGCTATGAAACAGGTATTTAGCCCAGTAAATTCAACCTTATCTTAAACAAACAAAATCAGCGGCATTTTATAATTTATCAAATCCTTAACAATCATTCATAAATTAATATGTTTTAAATTCAAAATAATGACATATAAGTAAAAAATATTTCGTGGCTTACTAAATTAAAAGTGTTTGTTATATAAATTAAAACGTGGTTGGCATCGAAGATTTTCTTTGCTTCAACTTGGAAGAAAAACCTCAAATTGAAATAATCAATTTTTACAGAGAAAAGCATGTTAATCTGAAACATTCTAAATTTTTCAAATTAATCAGAGAGCTAATCTTCAAATGGAAAGACAATATTATGTAATTATTAATTATAATCAATATCCGTCAGAATTTAGCAATTAATTCTTTTAGACTCAAGCTATCGAAAGTTTTAGTTCTTGAAAATGTATGTTCAGAGCTACAAAAAGTAAAAGTTGATTAGTAAAACCTAAGCATGATTTTAAAATGTTTATACTTGTCAAATCCAACAAAGTTTTTATTTTCGAACAAATTACTACGCATTGGTGGCATAAAATGTATCTCAATACGTTCACATGCTGCTTTGATAACAAGGTTATTGTGTACAACATCCACGAATATAAAATCGTATTTAGAAACTTCTTCAGACATTAGAATTCATAAAACTTGGAGCCTAGGAATGATGTGAAATCGGAAATCAACATATTACGTTATATGGGTCTAGAACTCTGTATAAACTGTACATATGCTGTTTTTCAGTTCACTGGACAAATTTAATTAGTAGTATCTTAGGTCTAATACTTTTTGCTATTCAACCGTTATTAGGGTCCAAATATAAATAAATGCTCAGTGCAAAAGTCATTATTTAATGACAGTTTCTTGCATGAGCGTAACCACTGACCATAGCCAGGGGCGGATACGGGGGGGGGCGGGGGACATTCGCCCCCCCCCCCCCAAGATTTCGAGAAACCCTAGTGCAAAACAGGAAAAATATCTGTCTTGATGAACAATGTGTGAAAAGTTAAAAATCTAGTTTTTTTAGTCTTTAGTCATTAATATTGAATCTTTTTGAGTCTTTTAAGTAAAAAAATATTTTCGCCTGCATCGCGATTTTTTGTCCCTTATTATGGATTTTTGGTTCCAAAATTTCTTGCGCCACCTTCACTTAAATCCAGTATCCGCCCCTGACCATAGCTATTTCTATACCTGTAGTAACATGAATAAAATTAGACTCTAAGACTCATTCTTTGAGAACAGTTGGATTGACAACATTTTGGCTTCCAGGATCCAAATCCAAGGGGCATAAAATCAACACCAAAAACTGCAAACAAAATATTTTGTTCTAAAAACCCTAATCTAAACTGTAGGAAAAAAGAAATTATTAAAATTTTCTTTATGGTTAATCAAGTTTTAGCATAAAAATAAAGAAAAAAAGAAAAAATATGAAAATTCGTCGTTAGTTCAGAAAATCGGTAAATATAAAAAAATGTTCATGACCTGGATCCTTAGCACTGCTCCCTACTAAGGGGCTCCCAAAAAAAAAAAAAATAAGGAGGAAAATAGCTTTTTATTTCTTTTATACTAGAACGTGATGAGTAGAAGGTACATAAATATTAGTTGTAAACTGTTGGAAGCACACTGGACTTCACTATTTAGAGATGGAGACAATCAACTGGACTTCACTTTTTTGACATCGCTGACCAGCTTCTCATAAGAGCTACTCCAGCTTTTACTTGTTCCCATCAGTTCTCCTTGTCTATCCACAATCCCCTGCAAAGTGAATTTTTAGAAAATTTCATACTTTCATATTTTAGCAAACTTGTATAATTTCTTCCATACTTTCATATTTTAGCAAACTTGTATAATTTCTTCCATACTTACATATTTTAGCAAACTTGTAAAATTTCTTCCATACTTTCATATTTTGGCAAACTTGTATAATTTCTTTCATACTTTCATATTTTAGCAAACTTGTATAATTTCTTCCATACTTTCATACTTTAGCAAACTTGTATAATTTCTTCCATACTTTCATATTTTAGCAAACTTGTATAATTTCTTCCATACTTTCATATTTTAGCAAACTTGTAAAATTTCTTCCATACTTTCATATTTTAGCAAACTTGTATAATTTCTTCCATACTTTCATATTTTAGCAAACTTGTATAATTTCTTCCATACTTTCATATTTTAGCAAACTTGTATAATTTCTTCCATACTTTCATATTTTAGCAAACTTGTATAATTTCTTCCATATTTTCATATTTTAGCAAACTTGTATAATTTCTTCCATACTTTCATATTTTAGCAAACTTGTAAAATTTCTTCCATATTTTCATATTTTAGCAAACTGGTATAATTTCTTCCATACTTTCATATTTTAGCAAACTTGTATAATTTCTTCCATACTTTCATATTTTAGCAAACTTGTATAAATTCTTTCGTGGTGAACCAAACTTTTTTTTTATCTTAAGAAAAGTAATACTTTGTCCAGTTTAGATTAAAATGCTTTTGAAGTTCATCATTTATTTAATATGAAAAAATATACTATAAAATTGTTCCATCCTTCACAATAGTCTTTGTTGCTACATCTAGTGTTGTTATCGTTTATTCCAATAAATTTCTCTCAGAATCAAATTTGGCATATTGTAATGAAAGCAAATGTTTAACACTATACCAAATTTTAACCCGGCAAGGAAATATATGCAAAAAAAGAAACCTTAAAAATAAATAAAAACGAACCTATGAAAATAACTAAAAACGAACCTATGAAAATGATCATTTTTCCATTTTAAAGTATAAACATATTGCAAAGTTTGATAAAAAACAAATTTTAGCCGAATACAGGTTTGACTTGTGTGGAAAGTTTTATTACAAATTTATAAAATATTGAGACCAATTTCAGCGCTGAAATGGGTAAATATTTTTTTAAAAAGTAAAAGTGTAAACATGGGGGAGGGGGGTGTTGCCAATTTAAGTGCAATTTTTGCTTCTATCCCAAATATTAAAAATTATGCCCCCGCCCCAAAAAAATGTATAACCCTGATCATTCTTTTATCGTTTTCTGAAATCACCTTAATATCTTCCAGGGTAAACTGTAGAACCAAAGGATCAATCAACACCAGTTCATGGAGGAATGAAAATACTCTAAATTAAAGGGACTGTTTGCAAAGATGACAATTCCCCTTTACAAAGATACCTCTAAAACCATTATTTGATCAATAAGGTGAAAGAAACTGTCGTTTTTCTAGCTTGGGCATTGCCATCTTTTACTCCATAAGTAATATTATTCTAGTCTAGGTTAGTCAATAATTATCATTGAAAAAATAATAATACTTGATTTTTTGAACAGGAAACTGATGCCGTAGAAACTCCAACAGTTTTTCATCAAATAAAATCTGCAGTCCTGAAAAGCTTTCAACCTGGAACAAATAATCAAAATAAAAAAATCATTTACTCTTAAAAAAATTTAAAACCAATAAAAATTAAAACCCCAGAGGGTTTATAAATATTAAGATAAAGGAGAGGAGCAGTCAACTCAAATTTTGTTTTTAGCGTAAATTGACAACATAAAATGCAATCTGAATTGGATTGTGATGTTGACTTAAGTGACTCTTGAACTCAACAAACGACTAGGTTTGGGATCTAAGTTGTTTTAAAGGAGTTTTAACCTGTTTTCTAATTGTTGGTAACAGTTTCTTCAATAAGTCTTTTGTCTCCTGTTTAACGGCTGAGTCCTTTCTGTCACAATTTATCTTTAGATGGTCATATCTATTTATCTAAACTTCATGTCAAAGGTACTAAATATCAGACCCCCCCCCCCCCCACCGCTCTGTCAACCAAATATCCTGTCCTAATCAAATTTGTTTCCCAAAGTTTCGAAAAGAATTCCCGCAGTTTCCTCTCCATTAAATTTTTAAAATCATTAGTCAAAATAATCTCCGTAAGTTTACAGAGGTGACATGGCACCCCGCACATTTTCGTCCGAGTCCAGGTTGTAAGCATATTCTCTTCCGAGCCTAGTGAATTTTCGTCCAAACCAAGAAAATCCTCGTCTGAGCCCAAGCAATGGATGAAATTTAGTAATTTTCGCACATATAACAACCGACACATTTGTGAGAAAATGACTAGGTCTGGGTTCTTAAATAGGCCTTAATTTCATCATTTGTTACTTCAAATAAGTATTAAATTGTTTTGATTTGGCTCGGACGAGAATATGATGGGTTTGGAAGAAAATCCGCCAACTACCCGGGCTCCAAACGAAATTGCCGCGTCCTTAACTCATTTAAACCCCTTAAATTCTTCAGTTAGTTTTCCATATTTTTAAAGTGCTCCGTGATCTTATTTTAAGATAAATGCCTGAACATCAACTCTAGAACAGCACTCAGGGCTTTGGTGATGAAAACTTGATGAGAAGATGAATCAAGGTTGCTAATGATTTGTCTGAAATTTAATAAAATTTAAAAAAAATAAAATTCTTCATCAGGTAATTTGAACTGAATCAATTCGATACAAATATAAACATCAAGGCAGAATACTTAAAAAAAAGTACTTAGGAATTCTATTTATTTTCCATATGTTAATTTTCATCCTGAGAAAAATGTAAATACAATGTTCAAAAATTTAAACAAAGTGCTCACAAAAAATAAAGAGGCTAGATTAGAAGACCAATGATAATCTTTCTTTCCTCTGATGTTCTTGTAAAAAAACATATTATGATAATGTTGTGAGGAAACAAATGTAATAATGGAAATTCTTAAACGAGATGAAAGAATGCATCAAGATTATGTTATCGAGTTTTAGAATTCCATTATTACATTTTTATCCTCATAAGATCAATATTTTCTTTAATGCTTGGAGCGTGTAAGATTATACTCTTACCACGTAATAAAATCCATTCTTACATGGTCTGAGCTTTAAAGAATGAAAATTCTTTACCCATAGTGTAAGGATACACATTCTAAGAAGTACCTCAGAAATTGTAATGTTTTGATCGTTTCTACACTAATTAGTCTGACCATAACTTTGAAAACAAGGGTTAGGACAAACTCCATCCTTCCAGGGGGGTACTTCAACTCTTTCTAAAAATAATAATTTTTCTATTTTCGTTTAGCTTTTAAAACTTTTCTTTGCTGACTTTATTCCTTTAAGCCTTTGACATAAGGAAACGAATTGCACAAGTTTTGCGAAAAAAAATTGCAAAGGAAATTGAACATTTTTAGTTTTTCTTGATTAAAAATCAGGTTATTTAAAATTTGCAAATTTTTTTGCATATTTGAAATGGCATAGTCAAGGGCTTTTCAAAAATGTATAATTTTTCATTTTTTGGACAAATTTTTTTTGCAAACATTTTTAATATATAACTGGATTTTGCGATTAAAAATTTAATTTTTGCAAATTTGCAATTTTTGTTGCAGATTTTAAAAGTAGAGCACAAGAGCTTTCCAATGATGTATCATTTGTCATATTTGAACATCAAACATGGGATTTAGAGGGGGTGGGGGGGGGGGGGGCCAAATTGAACCCCCCCCCCCCAGCATATCCTGGTTTTCAAGTACCCCAGCAGAGATAGGGTTAACAGGCAGAAAGGGTATTGACACAGGCAGGGGTGTAATGATGCGGGTATTTATCTTGCCTGGCAACAGTGTACCATGACATAGCCTATTGTGAGATGATACCCAACCACTGCACTGTTAAATACTTGAGATGAACCTATATTTTAGAATAAATAAATAAATGAATAATTAAATAAAAGATCATCCATCATTCCGTAGAAATCAGGGCCAAGACCCCTTCAGAAATAACCCCCAAAGGATGGAAATTAATGAAATATTCAATTAATGACACAAGTCTACTAGTGTGAATTGTAACATCAGGGTCTAGGCCAGTGACCAAAGACACCTCCCCACTGCTCACAAGTCGCTTGGACTAGTCAATTTTGGTACTATGGCATGTTCAAATATATTTCAGAAATTGTTTAATTGAAATAGAAGTGATCTTCCATTCTTCCCCATCCCAAAATATAGAACTAATAATAAAAATATGGGATAAAAAAACTATCCCAACTGTTCTCCTTAATTGAGTACAAAAAATGTGCTAAATATCGGCAAAATGTTCAATAATTTTTTTAAAACAAAGAAGAAAGAAGTTTGCACATTTTGCAAAATAAACAAAGATAGTCATTTTCCAATGCTTTTTTAAAATAGGAAATATTTTCTCTGTTATGAATTATAGGCTTGGATTTAAAACTAAAATATCAATTAAAAACAATTATTTTTACAAATTTTACCAAAGAAAAACAAAAAATGAGAATTTTGTTCTACCCTGTTTAATGTTGAATGTTTGCCTTCTTTATTATTTTAGTGTAAAACCATGGTTACCAGTGTTAAGCTAGAAATTTGGTAAACAGTATTCTTAGTGTATCCTTCTAACACAATTACAACCATACAATTAAAATGAAATCATTTCAACAAACAAGGGCAATGAGAAAATTTGGATTTATTCCAGTTAGTGAAGATGAAAATGGCTGTATCAGGATCAATCTTTTTGAGCCAGTTTTTCTGGTGCTACTAGTTGTCCGTTGCATGTTTATTGGAGCTTATCTATATTTTGTTTCAATTTATGCACTACAGCAGGAGATGTTCATTCTTAACACTGTATTGCTTAGCATAAACGTACTTGCATCCTGTGGAACATTTTTTTATAGTTCTCTGTTAATAGCATTAGCGGCTGAACGACTCGGAAACAATACATTCACTGGAAAAAGTCATATTACTCTCAAGACCTTCATTGCAATCATTACTCCCCAACTGTTATACGCAGCTGGATGTGTGCTGAACCAACTTCCACTGTTTACTCTGGATATTTCTTGGGTTTCAAAATGTGTTCTTAGCATTACATTAATCTTTGTTAATAGTCTTGCGCTCATAGATATATTTTTGTTAGTATCCACTTGTTATTTATGGGTATTGGATTTCAAGATGAAAATTGCAGAGTTATTGAATCAAGATAAAGCAACAATCCAGATTAACAACTTTGAGAAGATAAACAATGACTATTTAAGTCTCAAGCATGCACTTGAGCCAGCTACATTTGCTGAATTTTCTTTTGTTCAACTTTTGTGTGTAGTATCAGTTTACCTGGCATTTAAAGGTAATATTGTTCCAAAAATCTTAAAGCCAGATATATCTCGTCTCATGTATTTTTTTCAGGAAACATATACAACCTTCTACAATTTATTTCTATGCTCATGATCCTTGTTCTCATGGTAAGAGTTCTAAGTGATCTGTATGAATTAATGGAGAAGGTAGCAGACAAAGCTGAGGAAGTAGGTCTAGAGCAATCAAACCTTCGAAGCATGTTTAGGTACATTTAAAAAATCCGGAGTCCGGATTTAATGAATTTGCCAAAAACTGGTTTCCATTGAGCACCGGCTTAAATCTTGAAACATTGAGTAAAGTTTTAAGTGGAACCAACCATATTTGAGCGACTTCTCAAATTTAAGCCGCAGCTCCAATTCTTTAAATTCGGCCTCAGCTTTGATATTTTTGAATTTTAGAAACAAGCGAGTTAGAGTACACATTCAGCATATGATTCAAGCAAATGTTACACACCAAACTGTATTTTTGATCCCCAATTTTAAACTGAGTTTTTTTCATAAACTTTCTTTGACTTCAGATTATGTTTTATTTCATTTCATATGTTTATTGTTTTTTTTTTGTGAAAAAGAATATGTTACCACCTAACACAAATAATTTTAGGTACAAACAGATGTCTGGAAAAATGAGAAGGGCTGGTTTATTCACAGGACTAGGATACTTCACTATTGAATTCTCCACCATCACAGCTTTGCTTGCCACAACCCTCACTTATCTTATTGTACTTTTACAGTCAAACTTTTAATGTTTATTTCTTTATGATTTCCAATCTTATATAAGGCACTCATACATTGATGTTTATATCTTTAATAAATACAATTTCATCAAAAAGGATTGGGAGGAAGATTTCTTATTTTCTATGTAGAATTGAGCTAGTAATGAAGTTTGGTAGTGGTCCTCCTAAATATTGATTAGTTAAACTGTTTATCTAATATCCCTTTGTACACAGAGTAAAGTCAACTTTTATTATATATAAATAATTAGGAATGTTTTAATTTAAATTATAAATTCTTTTTTTTTTAATAAATTTATTATATGATAGTAATCCGGAAACTGCCTTTGAGATGTTTGATTCAAAACTGAAAGATTGCTTTAATTCTGCTTTTCCTTTAAAAAAGTAAAATTATCCAAAACAAATAGTCCTGTGGAACCATGGATGTTGGATGCTTTATTTTTTTCTAGAAAAAATCAGTAAAAATTACATCAAAAAAACTTTTTCGGGCTGCATTTTGACAGTCAGGCAGTTGACTTAGAGGTTTGATTTTTTGCTTCAATAAGTTTCATGACTGTAAAGAAAAATTAAAAATTTGGAGACCATGTCATATACTGTTAAAAAAATATCGTCACCAAACCCAGAAGAAGCAGATTAAATGACATGTTTGATTCAAAACTGAATGATTGCTTTAATTCTGCTTTTCCTTTTAAAAAGTAAAATTATCCAAAACAAATGTGGAACCATGGATGTTGGATGCTTCATTATTTTATAGAAAATCGAAAAACAAACTCAAGTAAAAAAAAATTAAATAGCCTACTCCTAAAAGCCTGGCCAAATTTAAGGAATATAAACGTCATTATAGATCAGTTATCAGAAGAGCAAGATCGGTTTATTTTGAAAGTAAGTTTGATGAACATTCTAACAATATGAAACAAACCTGGAATACAATAAAAGAGGTTCTCAAATAAAACCTTAAGAGTTCATTCCAAGTTTATTCTTACACGATGGAAAAGTCTTTATGTTTTAATTTGATTAGATAAAATTAGTGAAGGTGTGGAAGACGATGTCTGGCCGCGTTAAACAAGTTCCACAAGATTCAACAGAACGAGATAGAATGGATACGGGGCACAGTACTGAAAAACATCTACACGTGTGATCTCGATATAAACTATTATTCTGAACCCTCTAGTAATATGTTATAAGAAATATATACACTGGAAGTTATTTATGCGTTTTCATTAGAGTCTGACTCACATCCTCTATAAAGGTTTCAATACTTTTTTGTAAATATCAGCAGTAAGTTAGCATCTGCTATTTCAAACTCCATACAGCTTTTAGTTGTTTTCTGGGAAATCCCTTTAATATAAGTTTTATATTTGCAAATATTACCACATTTGTTTATGAAATTCTGAACCAACTTAAAAGTATAATTAGTTCAGGAATAGATAATATCTCAACTAAACTACTGAAAGAAGTGCCTTTTATTATTGATCCAGAGGTTCATTAGTTCAACCTTTCTTTACAATCCGGATACATGTACTAGACTCTTATATAAGTATCTAGGCTATTCCTATTTTCAAATCTGAATTTACAAATTACAGGCCTATAAGTCTTTTTTCTTCCTTTTCTAAACTTCTAGAAAAATTATTGCACAACAGATATTCAAATATCTTCACAAGCATAAATTACTCTACTCTCATCAGTATGAATCTAGATAAAATATATATTTCTGTCTATGTAAAACAAATAATCCTGAATACTTTAAAGGAATATTTCTTGACCTAAAAAATGCATTTGCTACTGTAGATCATGATATTTTGCTAAATAAACTTGAACATAATGAATTTAGAGGCACAACTAATACATGGTTCAGAAATTATTTAACTAATAAATAAATAAATAAATAAAACTAATAGAAAACAATTTGTCAGTATTCAGGGAAAGAATATGCACAAAAATGTATTGGAGTCGGGGTACCTCAAGGGCAAAGTGAATAAATAATTTAGTGGGCCAAACTCATAGTTGGATGACATTTTAAGGCCCATAAACTTAAAAATAATATTGAAGGGCCCATTAACTTGGTCTGTACACAGTACACAGTACTCAGTACAACGGAAACTGGACTCCCTTTCTTAACAAACACAGACTTAGAATTTTTGTGAAACTTAAATATAGATTTTAAAGTAAATTACGATTTCAGAAATGAGTTTTTGCCATTTTACTGCACATTAAATAATTTCATACAGCCCAACAATGCCTGCATGCCTAATCAGGAAAAAAAGGAATACACAATTTGTGATATCGATAAATGAAGATCTTCAAAAATAATGGCCAGTTTTTAAATTGAAATATATCTGTTGATCTGCACACATGTGTCCATTTTGATAGAATTAAGAGTGGCTGAGAACTAGACATAGCTTTTAAGAAATTAACAGAGGCGTAATCAGGAATTTCCCCAGGTGGACTTAGTTTTTTTCTTTCTAGGAAAGGGGACCCATTATGACCCAAAAACCCTCAAAAAGCATATATTTAATGATCCAGGGGAGATTAGCCCTCATAGCCCCCCCCCCCTGAATATGCCTCTAGATAAAAACATGGATGTTTATAAGATATTTACAAAAAAATTTATGAATGGAGTGATATTTGAAAGAACAAAATTAAGTAGTTTTAAGATAAATCGTAGAATTGGTAGTGCCAAGAAATATCCACGAATTGATTATGTGACTATATAGTATTTATGTATTGTGTTAACTACGTACAAACATAAACAGTGCGTAGGATCCGGATCTGTTGGATCCACAAGATTTTAGCTTCCTGGATCCGGATCCGCAAAAATATTCGGATCCACGGATCCGGATACAAGGGGTAAAAAATCAATCAAAAACTGAAAATTAAACTTTTTTACTCCTAAAACCCAAATCTGAATTTTTGAAAAAAGAAAGATTATAAAAATTTCCTCATTTCTGAATGGTTCATCAAGTTTTAGGATAAAAATAAGCGAAAAAAAATAAAACAAAATATTTGAAAATTATTTTTTGTTAAAAAAAGTAAATCTTTAAGAAATAACCTGGATCTTGATCCGCATCAAAATTAAAACAGATCCTAAGCACTGCATAATTTTTTTTTGATTTAATTATGAAGTTCTGACTGAAAATGACATTTACATGCGGCTTTAGTCTATTTTTCTAGTAGTTACTTTTTAAAAGAAATGACCCTGCCATCTTTTTTTGCAATGCTATTTCCAAACCATATAAAACCTTATGGCTCAACCTGTCCTTCCACTTAAGTATTCATTCACTTTGCCCCAAGGATGAGTGTCAGGACCTCTTCTGTTTATAAATGATTTACCCAATGAAACTAATTTTTTTACATCCCTGTTTGAGGATTACACAGGATTGTTTATGTCAGACATAAGCCAATTTGACCATATAGATAATTCCATTATCAGTTCAAAAGTAGTAACCTAACATTTAATATTAAAAAAAAACAAAGTACATAATGTTTAGAAAGAAAAGCATGAAAATTTCTTCCATGTTACCAGATGTTAGAATTGGTGGAGTAGGAATTAATATAATTGGGGAAGATTGTGAAAATAAGTTTTTTGAATTTGTAGGATTACACCTAGATGAACATCTCTCATGGGATTATCACCTATTACCTTGCTAAAGATGATATAAAACCTAATTGACCAATACCTTGCTGAAGATTAGAGTATGAATCATGATTAAGTGGGATCACCATGCAAAAGATGAATAGAGGTGAATGATCTGATCCTGAATCAGAACTATTATGTTGCCAAAGCAGTGGATAGTCTTGTATCCTGACTTAGTGATAAACATTACTTTACTGAAAATGAGAAGAAGTAGATCATCTTCCATCCTGAATCAGAACTATACATTATGTTGCCAAAGCAGTGGATAGTCTTGTATCCTGACTCAGTGATAAACATTACTTTACTGAAAATGAGAAGAAGTAGATCATCTTCCATCCTGAATCAGAACTATACATTATGATGCCAAAGCAGTGGATGGATAGTCTTGTATCCTGACTCAGTGATAAACATTACTTTACTGAAAATGAGAAGAAGTAGATCATCTTCCATCCTGAATCAGAACTATACATTATGTTGCCAAAGCAGTGGATGGATAGTCTTGTATCCTGACTCAGTGATAAACATTACTTTACTGAAAATGAGAAGAAGTAGATCATCTTCCATTCTGAATCATAACTTAACATTACCTTACGAAAGATAAAGCAGGGAATGTTTTTTATCCTGAATCAATACTGAACATTACCTTTCTGAAGATAAAAGCAGTGAATGTATCCTAAATTATTGCTCGACATTACCTTGCTGAAGATAAAAGCAGTGAATGTATCCTAAATTATTTCTCGACATTACCTTACTGAAGATAAAAGCAGTGAATGTATCCTGAATCAATACTGAACATTACCTTGCTGAAGATAAAAGCAGTGAATGTATCCTAAATTATTGCTCGACATTACCTTGCTGAAAATAAATAGAAGTGGATGGTCTTGTATTCTGAATCTACCCATGTACAGCCTGATGATGTCCTCAGATTTTCTCTGCAGTGCTGTGTCATTTGGAAAATCAGGATGTAGGAACATACTGCCTAGAAAAAGGCAGAACATTAAAGTTTGAGAATCATAAAAACCTTGCTTAACTAAAACCCTATTATTATAATTATGTTCTTCAAAAACTAAGAAAAATTCAAAAAAAAATTTTTTCATATAAAAATTACCTAAACTGAGAGGAATAAAGATCTTGATTCCCTCTAACTCATCACTTAAATAAACAATTTAGTTTAGTTTGAAAACCCAGAGTTTTATGGAAGGGGGGGGGGGAGCTAGCAAGAGGATTTTGTTGTTTACTATTATTACCAGCTAGAGGATTTTGTTGTTTACTATTATTACCAGCTAGAGGATTTTGTTGTTTACAATTATTATTAACTTGGATAATAAGGCTTGCCCTCAAATTATTAATTTCTCTATTAAATTTTGAAAGAGATAAACATTATAAACCAAGATCTCATTTATTAATGCTAATGTTGTTCAAAAACACTGAGAAACAGCCTGCAAATAATGTCCAATTTTAATTTTCATTTAATCAGAACCAATTAAAATCATTGGGTTAAATCTTGAAACATTGAATATGATTATAAGTGTAACTAACCATATTTGAGCCGCGGCTCAAATTCTTTAAATTCGGCCTCAGAACCAATTAAAATCATTGGGCATAAGGATTACATAAGGGTCAAGTCTAGGAAAGGTTGGGCAAAAATATTTAAAAGCTCAGCTCTGAATAAATTAAAATCTTAATTACCTGCTGGGTGCCCATGTTGAAGAGAAAAATTTGTTTTGAGTCAGGAGGGTTGAAACCACAAGAAGAAAACCATTATTGCTCTGATTCGGCCTACTCATTTTATTAGTTAGTTATTTACTTATTTGTAATTTACATAACAATTTACTTAAGCTGAGTCTTTATTGGCCTGGCTGTACCAGAATTAAGTTTTTTTATGATCACAAACTGTAAAAAAAACTGTTATTAAGAACAACCTAAAGTTTTGAAAAACTTTGTATTTGAAAAATTACTATGAATTACTTATATCATTCTTTCTGAGATATTTTAACTATAAATACATAATGCCTTCATTTTCTAAAGATCAGTCTATTTCTACAAATGATTAAATAAGCCAGTGGTAAAATCTTTTGCGTGACAACCTATAATTTTAGTTTTAGAATAATAAACATACTTTGTCTATTGTTACAACTATACCTGTATATTAAATTCATGAAATCTCTGGCCATCCAACCAAACACTCGAAACATATATTTGGGGCGAACCTTATTCTTATCCAGGGATTCACAACTTTTACACATCTCAAGCAGCACCTATAATAATGAAATCCTGGGGAAAAGCTCCCATTTCTGCATGCCGGAAAAGTATGGGTAAAAAGGTAGTCAAAGTCTAAAGCTCATGGACAAAACTGACAATTCTAAAACTGCAGAAATCTAGGAATCATTGTATTAGTGCTGAAATGCTTGATAAAGCAATAGATTAAAAAAGGACAAGTAAACTTAAAAGGGCATTATCATCAAACAAAACTTGCAAATTTACTTTGCCTAAAAATTATTTTAATATTGAAATTGACCCCTTATGCATTTAAATTTCAAATGAATTTTGTACCTCTGCATGGGACGTGTATGCAACGCAAGACATTATATCAAGTGCTACATGAGAACTGTACTTAATCCTTTCTTTCGCCTTTAAACCATATATATCAGAGAGACGGGTCCAAACATCCTGAAAATATTTGATACATTATATTTCTAATGAATAAAACAGGTCAAATGCCATTATTTATTGAGAAAATCAACAAGCTTCTACAGTCTACAGTCTACACCCAGTAATTGCTATCACATGGGACTGAATTTAATGAACCATCATAAAGTTATTGTGAGGACAGTCTTTGCTTGGTTACTTACGTATGAACCTGACGCAATTGAAAACTCCAAATTTAGCTTAAAAAGTTGATAAACAATAGGCGAACTTTGATAATGAACTTTCATCATCTTTAACCTTATGCCATTTTTTGTGTGAAAATCAATACACTTTTGCACCCAGTACTTTATATCACATGGGACTGAATTCATTGTGTGGACATTCATTTTTGCTTGGTCACTAAATGCCTAATATGGGCCTTACACAATTAAGAACACTAAATTTGGTTTAAAACAAAACAAAAAATTAAAAATGCTTAAAACTTTTTGATTGCTTACTTCTAGCTTTGAGTATGACTGATTAGCTGGGTCAACAGTTAGACTACAGGTTCCTGTTACACTCAGTAGAAGATCTTCACTTAGCTTAGAACTCTTCAGAGTGGAGATAACTCCCTCAACAACTGGAATCAGGGGCATTTAATTTCAAGAATTGACAATGGCATAAACTGAAAAATTTTTCTCCAAATATCATTTCCCCCCTCTAAATGTCAATTATTTTTCCCAATTCAGCGATAATATAGTAAAAATGCTTTTTTTAACAGAAAGTAGAAGAAGGTCAATGAAAGAGAGTGCAGTAAGAATTAATAAAGGATCTAAGAAAAAAATTAAAAGAAGATTAAATTTTGAATTTTGCTATTAGCAAAAATATTTGAATTTGTAATACCTGAAGGAATAGCTGTTGTTCTGAACAGAAACTCAACTCTCAATTCATCCCTTAAATATGTTTATTGTTATGTTAGGATTATGTTCAGGACTCCTGGCGGAGTATAAGAAACTCAACTCTCAGTTCATCCCTTAAATATGTTTATTGTTATGTTAGGATTATGTTCAGGACTCCTGGCGGAGTATAATATTTCAGATTGTTGTCATGATATTCATAAGGATGCAAATATCAACATTGATATGTCGAAATTATTATTTTCAATATTTACGAATATCTAGTGCAACAAGATTAAAAATAGAAGACATTAATTTCTTCTTTTTTTGATGGAAGTTTTTTTTATTTCTTTGTTTTCATTTTTCAACATTTGCTTCTTTTTTTAAAATTTGGTTTCTGTTTTCTTTTAATCTTTTTTTTGATTTTTTTTGTCCCAACAATGGAAACTAGAACAGATTAGATTTTTTTTTTACATTTTTATCATATCTAGATTTAAATTGTCAAGTGTTGGCGCAGTTTTTATATCACACGGTAAATCATTCCATGGAGAAACAACTCTTTGACTAAAACATGTTAACGAATATCAGTTCTACAAAAATTCGCACAAAGTGAAAGAAAATTTTCTGACTTTCTTGTAATTCCATTGTATTTGCAAACCACGTACATTTATCAACATTATTAACACCATAAATAAGTTTTAGGTTTCAATTAAATCAGCGGAGTCTTCGACTTTCTAGGGATTGTAAATTGAGTTCTTTTAGTTCTTTGCTGTACGTTGAACCAGTGAGTCCTAAAAAACCATTGAGACTGCCCTTTTTTTCATTTTTTTCAAAAGTTTCTTTATCTCCAACACTCCAAGGACATCAAGCTGGGGCGGAAAACTCTCGGTGTTGTCTTACATAAAGTTCAAGATTAATAAATGTAACTTTATGTAACTTTAGTGAAATGCTTTAGAAATAAGAGACAATATGCCCTTTGCTTTTTTGGGCTGATTGGTTGCAATACACTGAAGGTTTCAAGTTTGCATACATTGTAACTCCAATATCTTTTCCTCGTCAATCTCTGACAAGGTTTGATTGCTCATGGTGTATGTATGATCAGGGGTTCTTTTTCCATTGTGCATAACTTTGCATTTATAAATATTGTACATCATACCCAAAGTTCATTAAGAAAGTTTTGTAATATATTTTTGTCACTTTAGTTTAACATTTTTTGGGCAAGTTTTGTAGCAGCAAATTTGTTTAACTCAGAAATTTGCCCACAAAGTAAGTCAATGTCATTAATATGGATGATAAAAGGGATCGGACCTGGACAGGTTTCCATCCTGAATGTTGGCCATTCAAAACTTCTCTTTGACCCCTGTTTGAAAGCCATACTTTAATCCATTTCAAAATATCGCCATTTATACTGTGAACTATAAGTTTATCAAACAATCTGTTCTTAAGCATTTTGTCAAAAGCCTTGGAAAAATCTAAAAACATTATGTCCATAGATAAACGAATAACAAATCATTGCAGTAATAATCATTAACTTTACAAGGGCTGGTAATATTTTCTTGATTTGACGATTTTTATGTTTTTTTTTTTTATTATAAAAATTCATTTGATTAATCCCCCTGGTCCGCTAAAATAATTTTCAAAAACACAGAAAATATATATTTTCCTTATAGCCTAACAATTTAAGTAAAATGCTATAAAAAAATGCAGCTGTTACCGTATATTTATGCTAGTGAAGATCTGTAGAATACTAATTGTCGACTGCCCACAAAAATCCATTTTTAGATGAAAAAATTATGTGAACACTGCTTTCTATCAGTGCTTATTATCCATTTAATTTTGGTGTGGATCCGGATCCGGATCCTGGATCCGCACTGGAAAAAAATGGATCCGGATCCGGGTAATTTCTTTAAGATTTACTACATTTTTTTACCAAAAAATAATTTTCAAATTTTTTGTTTTATTTTTTTCGCATATTTTTATTTTAAAACTCGATGAACCATTCAGAAATGAGGAAATTTTTATAATCTCTCTTTTTTACAAAAGTTCAGATTTTGGTTTTAGGAGTAAAAAAGTTTTTTTTTTGCAGTTTTTGGTTGATATTTTACCTTTGAATGCCTAGATCTTAATTTAAGATTTCAGCGTATCAAATGAGACTTTTTTCAGAAACTGATTTATAAAAATTAAAAACAGTGCCATCAGTTGATAGTTTATATCTGCTTTATTTTAAGCAGTTTTTCCATCTATACTATAACTCCACAGTATTACTCAACATAAGATAAAAAAAATGGATTTGTTTAGTTCCTCTGAGAAATATTGTCTTCTTTTAGCTCCCTCCATGGTTATGTTTAGAAACTCAAATCCTACATCAGCAATCTACAAGTAAAACACTCATTATTATTATTGAGGATACATTACACTTAAAACCTCAGCAGAATTAAATTACTCAAAATTCTTACATAATGTTTGGTAATTGCAGAACGATTTTTGAACTCAACGGTACCCTTAAGACTATCGCTTAAACATAAAAAAATGCTTTTACTCACTACTCTGCCTATTGAAAAATTGAAAAAAGAAAGTAAAATCTTATGATTTCGGAATAATTTTATATTTCATGTGGGTTTTCTATAATTTGACTTGCGAAATTCTGCTTACTTAACGATGGGGTTTATTTATCAGAATTATATACTCTAAGGCTAGAAAAGCGACGATACCTTCCAAATTATTGATCAGATTAACGTTTAAAGGGTAACTTTTTTAAATCGGATATGTTTGAAACAACTGTTGCTTTCACTTGCCAAAAAATTCTTTTCCTCAGCCTCATGGCAAATTGAATAAAGGAAAGTAAAATCTTAGATTTCTTGAGAGAGAAAAAAATGTCCTCGGTTTTAAATTATTATTACCTCCAAAGGGCATGTGAGGGTTGTTACAAGACGCTTGGATGATGGTAGAAGAATATTAAAAAGCTTGTTAATGAAGGAAATTAGCATCTTTTCCTTCTCAGTCTGCTCAGGAGTTACCTTTACCCCTTCCATCAGATTGTAAATAGCTCGACATCTGAACAAATCTAACTAAATTAGGTAATTCCTTTAAAAATATCACCTACCCCATTCTCTACCCCTCCTTTTAACATCCACAGTGATACTTTCTATTTACTTCAGGGGTGTATATTTTCAAGAATACCTCCCTCCCCCCATTGGATTTGAAATTTAATTGTTTTTCATCCTTTTCGTACGTTTTACCCAAAAATATTTATTTTCCCTGATTCAGCGAATAAAACCTTTCAAAAAACTTTTGCGCTCAGCTCACACTATACCGTACTTTTGAAAAAAAAAGACTTGGGGGGGGGGAGATGATTTATACACCCCTAATATATTTCATCCTAACCTAAACCAAAGTTCTCATCTCATACTAAATACAATATTAATATATGTAGTGAATGCCGTACTCGTAAAACTGCTTCCAAATCTTTATCAATATCTAAATTTTGATGCGGATCCAGGTCATTTAAGATTTACTGAATTTCTTTAACAAAAAAATTATTTTCAAATTTTTTGTTTTATTTTATCGCTTATTTTTATCCTAAAACTTGATGAACCCTTCAGAAATGAGGACATTTTTATAATCTCTCTTTATTCTAAAGTTAAGATTTGAGTTTAGGATTAAAAAAGTTTTTTTTGCAGTTTTTGGTTGATATTTTACCCCTTGGATCCAGATCCGTGGATCCGCATATTTTTGCGGATCCGGATCCAGGAAGCCAAAACCTTGCGGATCCAACGGATCCGAATCCTAAGCACTGCAGGTACCGCTCTTCAGCTACTAATATCAACAAGGACACAAGCTCTTTAAACAATCAATGCCAAACCAATAACATTGATGTTTCAACGAGGACCAAATTACTCTATCACGGTAATCAACGGGGAGTCTATACCAACTAATGTGTATTTGTAAATTTATGTTACATGCTATTGTTAAGTTAATATATGTATTTACAAAATTTGCGCAGATATATATCATCGTAGTTCAGATAATCACAATACGTAGCTAAGTCTAATCGCATTACAAGTTTTGAATATTTGAGGATTTATGGACGATGTACAACGTAATTTATCTAGGTATGTTCAATTGTATTTATTACATCTAGACTCCGTACAACGTAATTTATCTAGGTATGTTCAACTGTATTTATTACATCTAGACTCACAATATGTTCAGTGTGTTCCGGATAAAGAATATTTTTTTTTGGGGCAGTGCCCTGGATAAAAAATGAGAAATTGGAAGAAAAAAGATCTTTATATAAAATATGAACCCCTTCCAAAATTTAAATCCTAAGATGGATTACAAAAACTTAAAAGAGGGTTTCAGAAACGCATCCATTATTATTACTACTTTTCTTTCAGTATATTTTGAAGAAAATCTCTTAAAAAATGAAAATACTACCAATTCATTTTTATTTCTAATTTCGATGGATCATCCTTTAAATTGTTTCTAAATCTCACCTACATAAAACCTTGTTAAAGGTTGACAGGATGGAAGATATTTCAGATGAAGAACAAACATTTAAATAATTCTGAATCCATGGTTCGACAAAACTTGCTTCGTCCTAAATAGTTAAATAGTTTTGACAACATGGTTCTAGAAAAGTTGCTTTGTACTTTTTATTTTCTTGGGATTGAATTTTTGCTTTGTTCGAAAAATATAAGAAGCAACATTAAAAGGTAAGATTTTTACTTCAGTGGAATGCGATTATATCAAAACAATCAAGACGACTTACGATTTGAACTTTGATTTATATCAAGCTGTTAAACACATGGATACATATAAAAATGGGAGTCAAGAGAAGCTGTCAATTTTAAAACTTCTTTTTGATTACTTGTGATATTGTAATTCGAAAAATACTTGTAAAAATTAAAACTTAAATAAAAAAAGTCGTCTTTATTCATGTATTGATATAGTCGCTTACCGCCGCAATGATTACCTGGGTTAGAGTACATTCCACTACCAATTCCTCCAAAAACTCCAGATATATCTTTAACCCATCCTGGTGAAGAGAGTGGATCATTTAAACTTGATATATATAAAAAATGGATCATTTGTAATATTATTGATTCACTAAAATTGCTATGAGCATTTTATGCATAAAAAGAAGAAATATAAGAATTTAAAACTTTTTATTATAATTCAAACTTAAAACATTTCATTTTAAAATCCTTTTCCTGGGCAATTCTTCTATGCTGAGCATCCAGCTGATCTGCGCAGTACTAAATCAATCAATTTATAAATTAATCAACCAATCAATCAATCAAGTATCAAGTATCAAGTATCAAGTATCAAGTATCAAGTATCAAGTATCAAGTATCAAGTGTCAAGTGTCGAGTGTATCATGTATCATGTATCACGTATCACGTATCACGTATCACATATCACATATTACGTATCATGTATCATGTATCATGTATCACGTATCATGTATCACGTATCACGTATCAGGTATCACATATCAGGTATCACATATCAGGTATCACATATCAGGTATCACATATCATGTATCACGTTTAACGCATCACGTTTAACGCATCACGTTTAACGTACCACGTATCACATATCACGTATCAAGTATCACGTATCATTTATCACGTATCATGTATCAAGAATCAAGAATTAAGAATCGTGGGGTGGGGTGGATAGTGTGCGACACCAGTTCTCGTTAGATCACTAAAGTTAAGCACACTTGTCCACAGCCAGTAACTGGATTGGTGTCCAGACTGGTGTTCACGGGTTCGCTTCCCGTACTCCACACAAACCTGTGGTTTCAAAAAACATCTGAAGCTGACATCTGGTTAAGCAGTCATGACCACCTGACGGATGTAGGAGGACAGAGGGGCGGCTGTCAACAACTCTCGCAGAGAAAGGGTGCGTGCTTTCTACTCAACAAGAAAGAAGCTTCAAGTGGGATTGATCCAAGTGAATGATCGATGAAGAGAGGAATGGGGGACAAGCAGGGAGAGTCTATGGTTGCCAGCTATAGGTACCTGGGGGTATCCAATCCGGGCTTACAGATGTTAGGGAGCAATGAGTGTGATGTTTCCTATCAGTATGGCACCCGGGCCTCATTCCAGTATATCAGAAGGATTCCTGCACTCTATATTCTCAGGCCTAAGAAGAATCTTAGGCAGCTGGAATCTTGTCAACCCTCTTCTTAGAATGCATGAGCGTGGATGGATGAATGTGCTGCCAGATTACAACCCCTGGTAGATCAATATAAAAACCCAAACAACACCAAACTTACGCAATAGAAAAAATTCCGAGATTTGATCGTAACAACCCGATCATGTCCTGGGGACAAAAAAATCTCTTTAAAAAAAGAATTAAGAATCAAGTATCAACCAACCAACCAATCAATGAACCATCCAACCTACCAATAAACCAACCAACCAACAAATGATATTTGCGAGTATCAATTCACCTAAATATCTTTAATGGAATTATCAGCTAACCAAAAAATTTTCTTTAAAAAAATTTATGAATTAATGAATTTCGGCGGAAAAAAAATAATTCACATTTTTTCCACCAGTGAAGGGAAGATTGGTTGAAATTGCGCCTTCTTTTAAAGACAGATTTGCCAGATTAACAATTGTGCACTTTAAACCTCCATCAAATCAATATGGACAAAGATTTCGTCATTTTCACATCTAAAAAAGTGAGAAATTCTAAAAATTTCTTATTTTTGTTGCAGAACTCCAAAAGTTACTGTTTTAGAGAAACCATAAATGAAAATAATCAATTTTTAAGGTAAAATATATGGGTATCCCATTCATTCAAGAACCTGCAAAGCGTAAAAGAGCATTTTGTGAATCAGGCATGCTTTTCTAGATATGAAGTGTGACTTGAAATTAAGTGTCAAGAATACCTGGTTTACAAGTTTCTCTAGATATGGAGTGTGACTTGAAATTAAGTGTCAAGTATACCTGGTTGACAAGTTTTTCTAGATATGGAGTGTGACTTGAAATTAAGTCTCAAGTATACCTGGTTGACAAGTTTCTCTAGATATGGAGTGTGACTTGAAATTAAGTCTCAATTATACCTGGTTGACAAAACTCTCTAGATATGGAGTGTGACTTGAAATTAAGTGTCAAGAATACCTGGTTGACAAGTTTCTCTAGATATGGAGTGTGACTTGAAATTAAGTCGCAAGTATACCTGGTTGACAAGTTTTTCTAGATATGGAGTATGACTTGAAATTAAGTCTCAAGTATACCTGGTTGACAAGTTTCTCTAGATATGGAGTGTGATTTGAAATTAAGTCTCAAGTATACCTGGTTGACAAGGTTCTCTAGATATGGAGTGTGACTTGAAATTAAGTCTCAAGTATACCTGGTTAACAAGTTTCTCTAGATATAAAGTGTGACTTGAAATTAAGTCTCAAGTATACCTGGTTGACAAGCTTCTCTAGATATGGAGTGTAACTTGAAATTAAGTCTCAAATATACCTGGTTGACAAGTTTCTCTAGATATGGAGTGTGACTTGAAATTAAGTGTCAAGAATATCTGGTTGACAAGTTTCTCTAGATATGGAGTGTGACTTGAAATTAAGTCTCAAGTAAACCTGGTTGACAAGTTTTTCTAGATATTGAGTGTGACTTGAAATTAAGTCTCAAGTATACCTGGTTGACAAGTTTCTCTAGATATGGAGTGTGACTTGAAATTAAGTTTCAAGTATACCTGGTTGACAAGTTTCTCCAGATATGGAGGGTGACTTGAAATCAAGTCTCAAGTATACCTGGTTGACAAGTTTCTCTAGATATGAAAGCTGACTTGTAATTAAGTTTCAAGTATACCTGGTTGACAAGTTTCTCTAGTTGGCCTGTGACGGATTCTCCGATTGGTTTCAAGGATATCCTGGAACCAACACAGCACAGGGCTAGGTTTAGTTTACAGTTTAAACCCAGCAGACGCAAATTATTGGAAGCTCCTAATCTGAAAAAAGGAGAAAGTTTTGAAAATACTGAATATAAAATCTGTCCATTCTAAAAAAACCGAAATATATCTAAATTAGATAAATGAATCTCAACAGGCAACATCTTTATATTTTTATATTTATATTTTATAAGAGCTTTTTTAACAGGCTTTTAAATGGACTGAAAGCGTAATTTCTAGTAACCCTTCGTGCCAAGATAGCAATGCCCGATTAATAACGATACCCCTGAACCCTTAATCTGATCAAAAATGTGGAAGATAACGTTTTAATTTCTGTCAATTTCAAAATTGTCTTTTTAAGCAAACTATGTGGAAATCACTTTTGCACAGAGACCACAACTGAAATTTATCAGTTTAATTGATCAATAAAATGGATATCTTACATCAAATATCAAAGTTTCAAGTTGGCTGTGTTAATTCACCTGAGCTGAAAACTTTAGAATGGAATATCCTTAATCCCGATCGGTTAATTAATCTGGAGTTTAAAAATAAGGGTAGAACAAGCATTATTTAATCTCAAGATTAAGAAAAAGAGTGGATCAAGCCTTAATCCCAACATCCACCATCCAAAAGTTAACAGCGCTGGACACTTTAGAATGGAATATCCTTAATCCCGACCGGTTAATTAATCTGGAGTTTAAAGATAAGGGGAGAACAAGCATTTTTTAATGCCGAAACTAAGAAAAAGAGTGAATCAAGCATTAATCCCGATATCCACCATTCAAAAGTTCCCAGCAATGGATATCTTGTTCAGACAAAGTTTTAACGAGCATTCCCATCTTTGGATGGAGGGTCACTTGAAATTAAGCTTACAGTCCCTTTAAGCAAGGTGTTCTGATTAATTCAACCAACCTGGCTAACGCCGGTTTAATGATTCCTAAAACCATTGGAAGAAGAGAATCCAGTTCTGATATAGAGACAAGGACAGAGAACAGAGTTCCAACATAGAAGATACCACAGTCAGACAGCAGAGCTGCCTTCAAATAGTGTTGATAATTGATTTTGTTCGTTTTTTAAAAACTTTGAATAAAAATGAGTCCAATTTAATAAATTTGAGCCGCGTCTAAAATCCGCCAATAACCAGTTTCAATTAAGCGCCAGTTTAAATCTAGAAACATTTAAGAGGAACCAACCATATTTGAGCCGCGTCTTAAATTTAAGCTGCGGCTCAAATTCTTTAAATTCGGCCTCAAAATTTTAAAACGTTCTGTTAAAGTTTGCTTTTAATAAACTTCACAATATTTTTATTTGAACATTTTTTTTAAAAACGCGATCGTTTAACACTTTTGTTTTTGGATTCTTGAATTGTTTAGTTTTTTTTTATAAAATAATTTCCGTCAGGGTATAGACATGGCATAGTGTAAGAAAAGCAAATATTTAGAATTAACAATGTTAAAACTTTTGTTTCTCTCGCTATATGCAAAATTTTGCAAAATATTTCCAAAATACGAAGCAACACGATTTACAAATAATGTTTTGAGCCTCATTTTTAACTATGCTAAGTTCTCATACACTAGAATCCTATTTAAAAATCGAATGCTAGCCAAGTTTGCTTTCTTATATTATGCAAAGTTTTTACAAGGACCAAAGATTTTAATCAAATTATTTTTTAATACGATTACGAAATCGTTTTGGTTAATATCTTTGATCAGAAATAAAAATTCGCATAATGTAATAAAAGCAAATTTATCGAGACAACAGTTTTGCAATATATTTAATTACAAAGATTTTTGTTAAAAATAAATTTTTAACTTTAAAAACCTTTTAGGTCTCAAAACGACGCCCATTACTATTAACACCACTACCTTAGAGTCAGGCAGCTTCTGGATTATTCTCGTCTTAAATCGATCAATATTCTAACAAATTTAAACATAATTTTTTTAAGGGGGGTTTTACACATTCAAATCTCCATATATAAAATGGCATGTTCTTGTCCTATCTACAACAGTAACATTGTACGCTTTGTTTGATCAAAAGTGACCGGCGGATTTCTGCTCCATAACAAATGAGGAAATTGCAAAAATTAGACTATTTTCAAGCAAGATAATTTACAAAATCTTCCACTTGACTGAAAAAATAAAGGTCTAAAAGCATACCAATGTCTTTTTTGATGGATTGCATAATAACTCGTTGTTAATATTTATTTTAATTCTTTTTTTTAATAAATCGAGATCGTGATATATTTCTTTGAAAAATCGTTTCCTTTCCTTATAAAAATCAGTTTTTAAATTAGGGGGGAGGATAATTTAAACGGTAGGATGAATCTTTAGGTAAAAAATAACAAAAAGTTGGTAAATCTAATAACTGATATCCAATTTTTCATCTTTATGATGTTAAACAAGGCAATTATTTATGTTGAATCCCTTGATTTTAGTTTCTTTCCAGGCTTTGGTGGCAATAGCAACAAGATTGAGAAATAGATGAAAACTGTCGTGATGTTTAGATCTACCGGAAACTATATCATCTACACAGTTCTGCCAGGATACAACATTCCTACAAAATAGTTTAGATCTACCGGAAACTATCAACATTCCTACAAAATAAAGTGGTAACCAGAAAACAGTAAATAATTATATTTTTGTGATTTTCCTTTATTATCATTGATCGCCAAAATTGGTCATAATTTCGGAATTTTAGGACGTTATAACTCATGAAACAGAAATCACAATAGTTTGAAATTTCGAGTTCAACATGGTCTAGTAACTCGCAAAATTTGAAGAAAAAAATTGACTTCTTTGAGTTCCAAAATCTGTGTTCATTAAGAATGACCCTTTAAGAATCGGGCATCAGGGGGTGTCTGAGTCTAATGTGTTTGCCGTTTCCCTTTTCTACTTCTCTTTTTATTTTTCTTCATTTTTTTCCCACAAACCCCTTAATAAACTCATATTTTTGCAAATTTAAAACTTTTAAATTGATTAATATAGGGCCCCTTGAAATTACGTTGCCAGTTACATCCCTTCCCTTTATAAGTTGTAAATACTGACTTGGGTATAAAGGCTGCATTTTCTAAAGTATTTGAGTTTGTTTTGAATGAGCTATTCAATCTCGAACTGCAATAGGTCCAAAGATCCAGCAGAATTTCAAACCCAGGACCTAGATACACAATTAACAAAAAGGTTAGAGAAAATTTTTTTTTGAAGAAAGGCCATTAACCCAGCTTAAAAGGCTAATAACTCACCCAGCTTAATGGTAAAGAAAATTTACTCTTCTCTTGAAAGATTGCGAAAAATGAATAAATATGTCGTTTTTTCATCTTTTTAAATAAATTAAAACTGAGAAATTTTGGAAAATTATAAGAGTGAAAACAGATTTTTGAAGAAGGGGGTGTGTTGATTTTTCAAAAAATTGCGTCAGCCTCTAGAATATTTCACCTGCGTGTTTAAACAAGAGTATGAGAGTTTGTAGAACCGGACGTAGAACCTCTTGACTTTGATCCTCACATAGGAGAGGTTTTAACTCTTGTCTAACATACGACATCAATATATCAGCCTCTTGTATCCGTAATCCTGAATTATAGTCATACAAGGATAATTCTTGAAGAAATTAACAAAAAAAAATAAGGGGGGGGGGCAGCTTATGATGGCTTGGGCAAGAAGATAAAAAAAATAACATCAGCTGACTAGTTTTCCCAATCTTAAATAATGTTAAACCAAAATTCATAAATCTTTAAAAATTGATATTCCCCAGTTCAGAGCATAAAACTTAAATCCTTTTTAGGATTCCATGACATTACAAACATCTGAATTAGGGGAAAAGATGACTTTAAATGGGGAGGCGGGACCATTCAGCTGAAATAATATTAATTAAAAAATATTAACTGAAAGAACTGGACATATGTAATATTTTGAGCAGTGCTTAGGATCCGGATCCAAGGGGCAAAATATCACCCAAAACTGAAAAAACAAAAAATAATTTTTACCCTCTAAACCCAAATCTGAACAATTGAAAAAAGAGAGATTATAAAAATTCCTGATTTATGAATGGTTCATCAAGTTTTAGCATAAAAATAAAGACAAAAAATTAGAAAATTCTGCTTTGTTAAAATAATTCAGTAAATCTTAAAAGATATGACCTGGATCCGGATCCCGGATCCATTTTCTTAAAATGCTGATCCAGGATCCAGATCCGCATCAAAATTAAATGGTTTCTAAGCACCGAATTGTTCCGGAAAAAAAATGTCAAAATCTGTTAAAGTTCCGCCAAAGTTTACTAGGCAGAAAATAAAAGTAACTTTTCAGAGTAATGGGCTGGACATAAAGAGATTGTAGACATAATTTTAAGAACCCTCTATAAAAAGCCACAACGGTACCCTTGTACTATTTGTCTTAAAACGTTGTGATTTCTCTATAAACGTGACAATGAAGGAAAAAGTAAGAATTAAATATTTTTCTAATTACATAAACGACGATACATTCCACATTCTTGATCAGGTTTGAAGGAAACTATTGTGAATAGGGCAATGGCGGGTCACTTGAAATCACAACAACATGTGCCAGGCTGAATGTAAACTTGAAATCACAACAATAGTCTTAAGAAAACATGTGCCGGGTTGAATTTAAAACCTGAAACTTGAAGAAGGTTGATCAACGCTCCGGTAAGGTTCCAGAATAACATCTTGTTTTGTAAACTAGTTGAGGAGAAAACAGTGTACTGTAGAATTCCACAGTTTAGCTCCAGATCTACTGTATTATTGTTAAACATGTAGCTCAACAGTTTCCAAACATCTATTCCTCTCTCCTGGATTTCAACCAAACAAATTATTTCAAGAATTTTTTTTCAAAAAACTTAGTAATTTAGTTATTTTAATTATTATAATTAAGTAACACTATTATAAACTATTCTAGGTTACGCAAAGATAAGATAAATAGATAGTCATTGAAGTTTTCAGGTTTTTCTTCCTTTTTCAGTCTCCGAATCATAAGGAATAAAAACAATATTATTTTAGGTTATTTCATTCTCTTCCGATGTAACTTTGAAATATTTTCATATTTGGTTTTGGTTTGTTCCTGAGAATATTTACAGAGAGAGAACCAAAGCTCGTCTATACAAACACAACCAAACAAGAGAGAAGTTTTTCCAACAGCTTCTATACTCAACCTCCTGTATAATTATTATAATATTATCATTATGATCATTATTATCATTATTATCATATCATTAGTATCTAAAAAACAAGCAAATTCATTAGAAATCGGTAAACAAACAAACTAAACTAAGGAAACAATCACACCACATGCATTACTTTTAAATTAAGAACCAATTTTTACTTATGAAATGGTTTTTAACATTTTAACATTAGAAAAATAAAAGACAGTGATAGTCAGAACAAGAACATTAAACTTTTTTGCAAACTTTCATAATGTGAACTGTTCCAACTTGAAAGTCGAATTTCACCAGGTTTGATATTCAATATAATTTCTTGGGTATGTGCCCATGCAACCTCACAAGTATGATATAATAATAATCTTATTAATCTTAATATGCGGCCTTTGTTAAAGAATGCAATGATTATTTCATCGAGTTTAAGAATTTCCATTATTGTATTTTTCTCAAAAAACTATCATATTATTCACACCCCTTTCGTGTAATCGTAATGATTATCATTAATATTATAATTTCCATTATCATCAAATCTTAGCTATAACGATGAATTTGGGGATAAATATGTGTATGTGTGACAGGNGGGGGGGGGTAATTCTGAGTTTGAAAAACTAATGACATAAACATTAAAAACAAATATTTACTTGGAGAATATTTCCGTGAGATCCAGCATCGTGGCAAACAAAACCTGCTCCATCCAACTAGGATTACAATTTTCCGTTCAAATTTATAATTAAGAAAATGCGGGAAAATATTAAAGGGAGTGTTTGTGAAAACTCAAAAAAATGTATGGAACATTTTATTTATATCTGATCCATCTACATTTAACTTTTAATCCTGGACATTAGCCAATGATTGAACTTCATTTGAAACATTATATTTTGTCAAGAATATTCTACTGCAATATCGTTATTCAAATTCTCAATCGTCTTGGGAAATGATGATTATAAAATCGTAAAATGCTAAAAAAATGCTAAAAAAATTAAAATTAATTATTTGGGTTGGATGAAACAAAGGGAAATTCCTGAGTTGCATTTCTCCGAAGTTTAGATTGGTTTGAACCAAACTATTCTCAGGTTCCTCCTTCAAATAAGAAACTAGAACTATCAGACACCAGCGGATCTAAACAGAAACTTATCTTATCTCACGAAGTAAAAATAGTTCTTAAAAGGACTGTTAAGGAAAATGAAAGGGGGCATAGTCTGAAACCTAAACACATTAGGAGTTGAACGCGACCTGTATGAGTTCTATCTCATGTTCCTGTCTTAAAGAATTGATGCAAAACTTTATCAACGTTAAACCAAAACTTTTTTATATAAATGTGTTATAGGAAGTTTTAAACAGATCATATTCAGCAAATACGCAACTAATCTGAAAATTGCGATAACCCAGAGGAGCCTAAACAACTTAAGTACGCTCCTATTATAATCTAAATATATTGCTAATTCATTTTTAATTGATATAATTAAAAATATAATCGATAAGTCTGTATAACATGACCAGAATTTCCACCAATGGCAGTGCAGTATCATTGTCACGTGATACAGACGGAAACTTATCAAATGCAAAGTACATGTTTTAGTCCAAATGTATATCAACTTCTGTCCAAAGGTATACTTGTTTTGTCCAAAGGTATTTATTTTCTTGAAAATAATTTCTCATGATTTTAGTTCCGGTTTAGTCAATGAGTGTGATCAGGAAGTCACAACAGACGGATAGAATTATTAAGTAGTAGGAAATAAAATCAATTATCAACCCCCCCCCCCCCCCCCCCCCCCCCCCCCCCC